CAAGTAGGCTTACATGGGAGTAGCATCAGAACAAAATTCAACTCCAGCTTTATTTACCTGAAGTCTGGGAGGTTGTACTGAATCCATTTTAAAAGAAATGTAGTTGCATAATTCTATTATTTTCATGGCATTTTAATGCAATATACTGGATAGAGGATGATACTGCCAGTGGAATACAAAAAATAAATTACAGCTGAGAAGGCAATTTAGCTGATTAATTTGTCCTCTTTGCTTCACAGAGTGTCCATAACCACAGAGTGGTTTCTTCAGATGGTCTTGCTATTTGTGCTGGATGACTTTTTAAGTTAGCCTCCGCCTCCATAGACTGTGCATGACTTTACAATTAACTTGACTGTCAAGTATTGCAACAAATTGAATGTTGCATTTTAAATCACAGTGAAAGAGGCTGTGCCAATATTACCTTACATTTTTTCTAGGCTTAATTAGGTGTGCGAAAGCAGTTACTACTGCCCAGCTGACAGACAACAACTTAAGTCATGCTAACTGGATTTCAGTCCAAAATCCCTAATTGTGATTGATCAAGTAAATTATACATGCATTTAAGTGTTTTTCTCTGCTCAGTGAGTCAGAAAATGTAGACAGTACTTCTAGATGGTGCATTAGACAAGTATTTGCCCTGTGATGAGTGGAGAAATTGAAACACTTAAAAAATCAGGGAAATGTTGATCCTGAGCTGAACGTTATTATGGTTTGTTATCCACAACATTTTAGAATTACTTAGGTGTCAGAACCTGCACGTGTGTAGCTTGGATGATTGGTAGAAGCTCTTAACTGTCGGGAAATTAGCAGAAGTAATAGCACAGGTGTTTGCATCATTAGGAGACAAAATCTGGTTCCTGGGCATGGCTGAGTGCCAAAGTAAGATTCTTTAGAGGGAATTTACTCACTGCTGAATTTCCTGGGTTTGGAACCCTAAAATGGAAATCTACCAAGATCATCAGATTCCTTGGGAAAAAAATGACTTTGAGCTCTGGAAATACTTTGTAGAGTTACTGGGATTTGCCCTTTCAGGTTCACACCAGTTTTACATCCCTTGTGACTTTGCTGTAAGCAGGACTTGGCCCTTTTATTTATGTTCCTTCAACTTAGAGGAAACCATACTAAAATGTGAACCTTATCTTGAGAGGTTTATGGAGTGTAACTGTGCAGGAAGCAGGAGGTAAGGCTAAGACTGCTTAACCATGAAGGAAACTGGTACAAAATCTGTAGGCATGTGCTGTCTTTGAGTATTTTAAGCAGCAGAGCACAACAGTTGTAAACCAGTTCAACTTCCTTTCTGTTGGGCCTGGATAATCACAGATTAATGCTAACAAAAGATGAAACTGCCTCAATTTGGAGTTGCAGGTGGCCAAGGTGGTACCATGCTCAAAAATTCAACATGTCAAAAAAATATACTGAAACTTGTGGTGTAGGACCTCACAGAGAATGGTGACTTTGCGTAAATACTATGCAAAACATAACCGAGAAAGAGGAACTTTGCTGACAAATAAATGTGTGGTATGGGGGTCCACATAGTCACTAAAAATCTCTTAGTGGTTTGTTCCAGAAGAGGTTAGAGGCCACAGGGCTTTGGGATGTGTTACATATCTGTAGCATAGCTGCCTCAAAGGGACTATATCTGCAAACTGTCTCCATGACTCCCATTTTGAGAGCTTTACGGATTTCACAAAGTGCTAAAAGCCCAGAAATTTGCAGCTCCCATTCCAAGCCAGACAATGGGCCTGTGGCCTCACCAATGATGTGTGACTGCAGAAGCACTGGCTAGAGCCCATCTCCAAATTGGACTGGGAAGAGTCATTCTGTTTTTTATTCTAAAGTTTGTATCTTTTTCACACAGCTTTCTTTATGACTGGCTTTTATTTAGCCCTGAAGCTTAACATTTTGAGCTTCTATTTGTTGGGGTTTTTTTGGTTATCTTGAAAAATAATGTTCATTCTTCCAGTAAGCATCTTTCTTCTGTGTCTTGTTTCATTTTCTATTTTGTATGAATTCTTAGCCAGTAACTGCTTGAAACAGCTGAAGCAATTAAAGCAAAAAAGTAACTAACATCTGGTATGTGTTTATTTGCTCTCTTATACTCTCTCCAGGGCAAGAATCGTGTGATTTGGAATGGGTATCAGTTTATTATGTTATCTATACTTGAAGAAGATTAAAGAGGTTAATGTTGCACTTCAGGTTGAGATTTGCAAAACTTGTGGTAGTGTTCTTAGGATGTTCATGACACAGGCCTTGGCACTCTAGGAAAATATCATTTCCAGCTGAACACAGTTGTACCCTTGAGGAAAAAAAGTTTCCTGAGTGAGTGAATGTTGTGCTGAGACAGAAGTTTTCATCTGTGGTCATTGCCCTGTGGCTTGAGTCACTTGTTAAACTGACGCAAATTATTCTTATAGTAACTGGCAGAACAATGTCCTGGTCCATGGCTCTGGAGTCAGGGTCTCTGCAAGTCAGACAAGACATTCTTCAAGCTCCTCTTGACACAGTTACTGTGAATTTTTCCTGTACATTCTTTCTATAGTCTAAAAATCACTTAATGGTAGTAATACATTAAGCAGGTTCTAGACCATAGTCTACTAAGCAAGATCCACTTTCTCTCTGTATTTTGCACAAATTATGACTACAGTACCCTCAAAATAAAGCAGTAAAATATTACCCACTGAATTTATTATACAGAGCAATTTCATGGAGGCATCATTATGAATGTCATTTGCATAATTGATATGTTTTTATATTGCTATCTCAACAGTAAGTCAGTCTAGTGTACTAAGAATTTGCTGAGCACAAAGTTCTTGCTTTAGTTATTTCTGAGTAAAACTTGCTTTGTATTTGTCATGATCAGAAGTGCCCCCAGACAGGAAGGTAATAGCTTTAAGCTGGTGGAGGGTAGATTTATACTGGATGTTTCATCCTACTTCATCCAGAATTGTTCAAGGCTGGGTTGGATGGGCCTCTGAGAAGATGGTCTAGTGGAATGTTCCCTGGCCCTGTCAGAGAGGGTGGGAATGAGACTGACCCTAACCATTCTGCTGATCTATGACTCTATGAGATCTTGCTTGGTTTTTATAGTGCTCACTTAACACTGCCAGTGTTTTCATGTTAATGAGTTGCTAAAAGTGGAGATTTTATTGACTAAAATGAATCAATAACTAGAGGTTTCTTGGGTCTGAATATACTTTGACTTCCAGTCACCCCAGTCCAGATTTATGGCCTTTTTAAATTTATAGTTCTATAAAACAGAGCTTGGCTCTAGATCGCGAGTGAAGTGTGGTGATGTTTATCAGATGAGTCTTGCTGCCCTTCTGTGAGGAGAGATCAATGGTCATATTTGATGTCTTAATGATTCCTAAAAACTGAAGCCTTGGGAAATGCCTGGAGCAAAAGTGTCTTACAACCGCTCTATTACCTAGCAAATCCCTGCCTTCAAACTAAATTTAAAGGTGCAAAATCATTTCTATGTTGTCGTGATTTAATCTCAACTGGCAGCTCAACTCCATGCTCACCCACTCCCTGTGGGGTGGGGCAGGGAACCAGAGAGGTAAAATGAGAAAACTTGGGCGGTGAGATAAAAAGCATTTAATAGGTAAAGCAAAAGTGAAGCAAAACAAGGAATTCATTGACCCCTTCCCATGGGCAGGCAGGTGTCCAGCCAGGAAGGCAGAGCTCCAGGAAGACAGGGCTCCATCCCATTTAATGGTGACTTGAGACAAACACCATCACTCTGAGTGTCACTCCTCTTTCCCTCTTCTTCCCTCAGCTCTACATGCTAGCATGGCACCATGTGGTGTCATCTCTTAGGGCAGGAGAATTTTGTTATTATCTTGTCACATTTAAAATGAATTGATTTCCATACTAAACTGAAATAAATTAACTTAGTGTGCATCAATTAGTGTTTAAGTGTCAGAGATCAAAAACATTTGCCCTCCTCATGATCTGAAGTTACATATATTCTGATTGCAAGTGTAAGAACTGCCAGTTTTGGCTTTACAATGGCTTCTCCTTGGAAGGAAAGCAAGAAAGCAGTTCTGTAAAAGTTAACTTACTCACTAGTAAGTATAACTGCCTTTTGAATTCAGTTTCAGCTGAATTTATAGTAAACTACAGAGACATTTAAATGCCCTTCTGTCCATCTGCAGGTGTCCACAGTTAGTTGTTGAGGAAAAATTACTGTGGAAGTTCCATCTCTGAAAGCTCTGTTTCCATAGATGACACTTCAACTCTGACTTCTCAGCTTTGGTGTAGTGGTTGTAGCTATGCTGTGGTAGAATAGGAATTGCTTCTGGAACTGACCAAGGTTGTAAGATAAGAGGTTGTGATACTTCAGTTGGGTAGGAAGGCAGATAGAAAAATACCCGAGGGAGTGCAGCTACCCAAATGTGTACTACAGCATTCTGAAGTCAGGAATTTAAAAGCCTCAAATACAGCTGTGATATGTTTTCAAGAGCATGGAACACTGTTGTGTGAATTACCTTAGAAGTAAATGAATTGATGTGTCTGCAAAAGTAATTGCAGTCCACCATCAAGCAAATAACATTGGAACTAGTGGATTATAAATTGTGACATCATATAAATCAATACAACTCAGCTGAAACTGTAATTGAGAGAAACCTGCTCAAAAGTTTTATCCTAAATGTTTTGACTGATTGACAAGTTTTCTCTTTAAAGATTTTTAGCGTCATTGAAGTGGATTTCGTGACTGTTAATTTCAGAGACTGATTTGCAGATGAATTTGGCAGTCTTTCTTCAGCCTGGTAAAAAGGAGACCTAAACCAGGTCAAACTTGCTTTCAAATTTGCTAAAGCTGTAAACCAAATTAATTTAAAACTACACCTGTGAACTGCTGAATAAGGGTATTCATAATTTAATTTGTTTGTTTGTTTGTTTTGTTACAGCATTTCACAGTAACCAGAGATGGAGAAAAGAATGTGTCACAAGAGCAAAACTGAGTTAACTGCTCTAACAATATCTTATGTTCTTTTCAGGTTCTATGTAATCTCATTGGGCAACAACAGTGGAACTCGTCTGTCCAAAATGGTTTATGGTGAATTTTTCCGCAGACCTGGCAAAGATGCAGAACTTATCAATTTGAATGTGGGTGGCTTTAAACAATCTGTGGATCAAAGCACCTTGCTCCGATTTCCCCATACCAGACTCGGAAAACTTCTCAAGTGCCATTCAGAAGAGGCTATTCTAGAGCTGTGTGATGATTATAGTGTGGCAGACAAGGAATATTACTTTGACAGGAATCCTTCCTTGTTCCGATATGTTCTGAACTTTTACTATACAGGCAAACTTCACGTTATGGAAGAGCTTTGTGTCTTTTCCTTCTGCCAGGAAATAGAGTACTGGGGGATAAACGAGCTGTTTATTGATTCTTGCTGCAGCAATCGGTACCAAGAACGGAAAGAGGAAGGTCCTGAAAAAGACTGGGATCAGAAGAGCAACGACAGTATGGACTCCTCCAATGAAGAGTCATCCATATTTGATAAAGAGCTAGAAAAATTTGATAATCTGTGTTTTGGTGAAATAAGAAAGAAGATCTGGGTCAGGATGGAAAATCCTGCATACTGCTTGTCTGCCAAGTTAATTGCCGTGTCATCCCTGAGTGTTGTTCTGGCATCAATTGTGGCCATGTGCATTCATAGCATGCCAGAATTTCAAAGGCTGGATGCCAATGACAGGGAGATTGGAGACCCTGTGCTTGAAGCTGTGGAGATTACGTGCATAATCTGGTTTACTGCTGAGCTAGTGATCAGGCTCTTCACTGCTCCAAGTCAAAAGAAGTTCTGGAAGAAACCACTGAACATCATTGATTTTGTCTCTATTATCCCATTTTATGCCACACTGGCTGTGGACACAAAGGAAGAAGAAAGTGAAGATATTGAGAACATGGGGAAAGTGGTTCAGATCCTGCGGTTAATGAGGATATTTCGCATCCTGAAACTGGCCAGGCACTCCGTAGGACTGCGGTCCTTGGGAGCCACTTTGAGACACAGCTACCAAGAAGTTGGACTTCTGCTTTTGTTTTTGTCAGTTGGGATTTCTATCTTTTCAGTGCTTGTCTACTCAGTGGAGAAAGATGATGACTCATCAGAGCTGCAGAGCATCCCTATTTGCTGGTGGTGGGCAACCATCAGCATGACCACTGTTGGTTATGGGGACACTTACCCGGTCACACTTGCTGGAAAGCTGCTCGGCACCCTCTGCATTATCTGTGGGATACTGGTGGTAGCACTTCCAATCACCATTATTTTCAATAAGTTTTCTAAGTACTACCAAAAGCAAAAAGCTATTGATAGAGACCAGTGCAACAATGATCGCAAAGAGAAAAGCAATGACCTACCCTATTTTAACATTAGGGATATTTATGCAAAAAAGATGCACTCCTTCATTTCTAGCCTTTCTTCAGTAGGAATTGTAGTCAGTGACCAAGATTCAACAGATGCCTCCAGTATCCAAGATATGGAGGATGTTTATAACGCAGTATCTTTAGAGAATGGTACAGGAAAATGAGTTGAATCACATTTGCTTCACTTTTTTTCTCTTCTGATTCTTGGTAAATGTGGACTGACAAACTTCAGTGAATTCATTAAGAGCAGTCGATTCTCAGGGTTCTTAACTCAGCCATATTTGGACATTCTTTGCTCTGAGGATGCCATAAAAGCTTCATTGTTTATATGAGGCTTTAAAATATGCCTCATATAGTGGTTTATTTTTTACACAACTAGTGTTAGGCATTTTTGGGGACAAAAAATTGGGAAAAGAGTTTTACATGTGAGATAAGTGGGTTTTTTTTTTTGTTTTCATGGATATTGTTTTTGATTTGTTCATTGTTTTTTCCACTGCAGCAGTCTCATATCTTACACAGAATTTGCTTTTATAATTTGCTGCTTTTCAGGTAGAGATGTATTAAAAATGTATAAGAACTATTGCACAAGTTAGTGAAGTTTTCACTTGCAAATACATTACATAAAGGAAGGAATTATGTACATGTGAAACTGTGCTCTCTAACACATTTATGTAATTTTAGAGTTGGGAATCCATTTTCCAAGTTGGGGCAGAAAATATATTGGTACATATTGTTTTTTACTGCATGGAAGCATAATATTTATTAATTTCTTTCCAAAAGCACAATACATTTTTAGTTTGTTAAAATAAATTATTCCCATTGTGCCTGTATTTTTCCTAGGATCCAGCCATGGCTAAGCTCTATCAGGTCCTCGAGGTTTTTAGTCATAATTCCCAGGATAAAGTGTCTGGTGTAAGCAGGATAGGAGCTTTTTGTTCCAGTTAGCCACCTCTCCTGCTGTTGTGACCCTGAACAATCCTGGTGCCTGGAGGGGATCTTGCTGTGATTAAGGCCACCCCGGTGGCTTCCCCAGGAACTTGGATTTGTGGCTACTGAAGCAAACATCTTTGGTGGTCTTTAGAAGTTGCTGCTCCCCAGTGCCAGCCCAGTGGCAGGAGCAGTGGGAGCAGCAGCTCGGCTGCTGTGCTGGGTCTCTGTCCAGGGCTGAAGTGCCGAGCAGTGGAGATGGGAGCACATCCTCTTCTCTGCCCCGTGTTCCTGTCAGGGATGTAGGGTGGGAATTGCACCTGGGCATCTGTATCAGGACTATTTCAGCTCATTTTTCTAAAGCTCATCTGCTGGTGGTGGCAGCTTTCCTGGTGTGTGCTGTGTGCTGGAGCAGTGCTCATTGCTTGGCAGAGTCCTGCAGCTCTGTGCATTCCCCTCCTCTCCAGGGATTTCTGAAGCAGCCAGCTAGCTCTGCTCTGTTTCAAGCGCTGCTGGAGAAGCTCAAGGACCTTAGAGTGTTATGTGGACCATGCAGTCCATAGTGTTTCTGAACAATCATTTTCTTTCATTTGTCTAGTGACTAAATCAGATGCTGGGCAATGGAGAATCAAAGACACTGTGATGTCAATATTTGCCTTGAAGAGAGGTTTGACTGTTTTATTATTTTTAATATTATTGGGTCAAATAGAAGCCTGTACTGAGCTTCTGTTTGAGAAAATCAAGCTCTGTAGGAATTGACTTCAGAACTGAGTAAGATGCCAGAAAATGACAATTGATTCTAGCCACTGCAGAAACTTGATTTTTCATGTATCTGCCAGATTTTCTATTGCAAAATGCATTAAGTAAGCAGCTGAGGTGCACTTAAATTTACTAAGGCACAGTTCTCTAACCTCTTTCTGAGATGAAGAAACAAGAAAGAACACAATCAACCTATAGGTTGTAAAGATGTGTCTCTCGGGACTGCTGTGCATCAATATAATGATGTGGAACTTAAAGAAAATATTTTGAGCTCTGGAGGAACTTCAGAATTTGGTTTGTTACTTGCTGACTTGTTGTAAGGGTATGTGATGCTTCACAGACAATTAAATATAATTCTTCTAGTAGTTCTTGTAGGAATAGCAAAAGGCAAAGTTAGCCCAAATGTGATTTGTTCTTGCTGAACAATTAACCTTAAGAAGATGCAATGATAAAAATTACTAAATATGCATGTGCATATGAGTCTAAGGAACCAGCAGAATAACAGGAAAAAAGTTACTCTGTCCAAAGAAAATCTCTTGGTGATGTCCATGTATTTATATATATTATATTGCCACTGAAGATCAAAAGCAATGAAAATACTGTAAGGCAACAAAACCTGCAAGAAATGGTATTAAATAGTTGAACAAGTGCTACTGAAAAACTTAGTTTTATGTATCAGGCATTGTTTAAGGATCACAGACTATACAACTTTATGGATTAAATTTTATGACTGGTAATTTGTCCTAAAATTGATAAGTTTTTGATTAATCTCATGAATCAGTCTTAAGGCTGTTACACTTTTTAAGTGCTCTGACTTTATGCATTGATACAGCTTGCAGCAGAGTGAGATATCTTTTGGAACACATCAGAAGGTGAAGTACATATCCATATATCATTTCATGTACACTGTTTTGATTTCTGTGATGAGATCTTGGCCTTTTTCAAATCAATTGTATCTTAAAAATGGCTTTCTTGTATCCTTACCCCTTGCTGGAATAAATCCAGCACCTTGGTTTCACAAAGGCATGACTGTGAGCAGGACGTGATCTGTGCTTCATGCCAAACAATACTCCTGTCAGGGCAGAACTGCAGTGCTGTGACTTGCACTGGTGCTAGAGAGTGTCACAAGCCTCGAGTGCCAGAAGGAAGCAGATGAGAGCAAATACTGGATACTGCACATTCTAGGGAGCTGTTTCTTATTGAATTTATCTTCTTCCTTGGTCTACAGTGGCATATTGTTGATTTGAGACATCAGTGTCAACAGAAATATATTGGATATTGTTTTTCTTTTGCCTGAACCACATTTTTTTTGCTTTAAAAATGCTTCCTATCTTCTCACCATCCAGCTGCTCTGTTTCAGACACCAAAGCACAGAGAAAATTTCCATTTAGACATGCATCCCATTTTGTATAGGTGAGATTTGTTTGTTTTTATACAAAACAATTTACTGACATGTTTTTGCTTTCTTTGTTTTGAAGCCAAACTCTTCCCTTTTGATATTCCATATATCCACAGGAGCACCCACCTTTGCGTGGCTTTCCCTAGTGTATAAAGGGAAGGTAGCACTGCACTGCATTGCAGCTCTCTTTGAGAGGCTTCCAACTGGCAGGAGAATAATTCCACTGCCCAAAGCTCCTGCCTTGCTGGGGGCAGGCTCTGGCACTGGCACTCATTTTTGGGGTATTTTAGTAGAGGAAAAAAAATTCAGTGTAAAGGAATTAGAAAAGAGAAATGGGAGAAGGCAGGAGGCAATCAGTCAGTAGGGGTGGTGGAGAAGCATGAGAGAATCTCAGAAGTAAGGAAAAGAAGTTGACAGAAAGAACCCTCATATTTTTTCACTTATTTCCTGTTTTTTTGTTTTTTTTTTTTTTTTTCCACCAACTGCTTTTCTCCCCTTTCCTTCCTTCTCCCTTCTATCCTTCCATCCCCTCCTGCTCCTATCCTGGTCCCCCTTCCCAACCAGCCTGCAATCTAGCAGTGTTTATATTCAAAAATGAGGGTCTTTGTGAATCCAGAAAGGCATGTTCCACCCACCCAGATATCAGCGAGCAGAACTTAGCAGGGATGTAATTAATAACCAGAGGCAGCACTTTTTGTAAGAGTCAGGGTGTTGCTCAGATTGTGGAACATAAGTGTGGGGTAAATAGTATCACATTTGTGTCAGGTCTGTAAATGAAATACCACTTATGGCTTAGGTAGAAATTCACAGTCTGCAACCTCCTTGTGAAGGGAAGAGGAGGGGCAGACACTGATCTCTTCACTCTGGTGACCAGTGACAGGACCTGAGGGAATGGCCTGAAGCTGTGCCAGGGCAGGTTTAGGTTGGGTATCAGGAAAAGGTTTTTCACCCAGAGGGTGGTTGGGCACTGAACAGGCTCCCCAGGGAAATGGTCACAGAACCAAGCCTGACTGAGCTCAAGAAGCACTTGGCCAATGCTTCTGGGCACAGAGTGTGGTAGCTGGGGTGTCCTGTGCAGGGGCAGGAGTTGGACTTCATTATCTTTGTGCACCCCTTCCAACTCAGCTGATTCTGTGATAATGCCAGATATTACCATTTAAAAGCAGATTTCTTGTTGATTCCCATGTGAACAGGTTGCTGTCGGGGACTGCTGAGAGTATCAGGCGGATTTGACTGGCAAATGCAGCCATGGGCTCCTGACATGCTGCTGTGTATTAATACATTTATTCATTTCCCCATATTCCTAACATCTAGAGCAAGTGACAAAAAACCACTAAGCTGTGGAAAGCTTCTCTAATATTTTTTGATTAGCTGACAGTGTTTGTGAAGCTGCTAATACTTCATCCAGAAGAGGACATTTCTCAAATGAAATCACAATAACCCTGAGCTGGATGTGCAGTTTGTGACTGATAGCAGTTGCTCAGTTGCAGTCAGTAAATAATGCTGTCTGATGCTGTGTGGCTGCAATGCTTTTGCCTGTATTTCTGAAATGTTTATGCTCTGTCAATCAAGAGACAGCAGATGTCATTAAAACCATCTCAGCACTTTCCAGCTGCACAAAAATTGCAGCATCTCTTCCAAGCACAGCAAAATGTCATAGCTTGCTGAGACTTCTTAATTTTGTGCGTAGTTGTAGTTAATTTGTTTGATGAACCTATGTTCCAAGCACAGTCTAGCAGAATAAAAGGTCACTGTGTGTCTCTAGACAAGTTACAAGATTTTACCGACTTTAACCCAGGCCAATGCCCTCCCATCTCACTGGCACAACTCAGGTGGTGCACAGAGTGGTAATGCACTGTGGAATGGACTGATGGCTGTTACAGGTAGGTAAGGAGTCAAGGCAGAGCTCCTTGGGGATAGATGTAATTTATATGTAGTTGTATCTGCCCTCTGGACAGAGTTCATTTAGGTATATAATATCAGATTAGATATTTGCTGAGAAAACACCTATATCTTATATCTTTTTAATGACTATATTGCAGAGAGAAGCCTTTGCTCATGTTTTTATCAGGTCAAGGGCTGTGGCTCAAGGGTTCTTTAATTCACACCCCCATCAGTTTTCTCCCAATCACATGTGCCGTTGGGAAGGAGAGACTTTGCAGCATCCCAAACAGATCCATGAACTTTTAGCCAAGGATTTGGGTTCCCAGATGAGGGCTGGTGGTGGTGGGGGAACATTAAGTGAGGGATGTATGTATATGTACAATGCCATGTAGTTTCATGTGATTTCATTTGGAGTCCCCCAAAAAGCTAGCTGTCTGTTAAGAGTCAGTAATGACCTGCAAGTGGAATTTCCTCCTGTAGGAAATTACTGCAGCCTCCTGTAGTAATTTAAAAAAAAAGCACATAATAAAATATGAGAGGGAGCAAACTGGTGCTGGCAAAGAGGCAGGCACAATATGCTGGCAATACTTTTATAAACCAAATTTGCATTATTTCTTGGCTTGTAAGCCATATAAAATATTCGTACTTTGCCATGTGTTGTAAAATCTGCCACTGTACATTAATACAAAGAGAATAATGGAGCCAAGTCCTGGAATTGCAGCGTTAAAGATGGAAAAAAAAAATTCTTGGCTCACGTAAATTACAGAAATGTTGTTTAGCTGCCACTGCTGTTTTATTGTTGCAGCTGCATCAGTGGTGATGAGGAGCAAGGGACCATGCACAAGCAGTGGTATGCAGGCTTCCCTTTCTTCCTTTGCCCATTTGACACTGACCATGAAGGCTCAGGGACCCCTGTAGCCTCGAGGGCTGCTCAGCAGACCCTTCCTGGGCCTGGTGTGGAGCCAGTTGTCCCTAGAGAGGAATGTGGTTGTGCAGGAAAATAATGAGACCTGTATGAAATAGCCTTCGGGGAGGTAAATAGAATCACTGAATTTGGTGTTGCCACCCTTCTATACCTGTATGAGACCTGGGAGAGAAAGCAGAAATGAGGACGAAGTTGAAGGGTCAGATATTTAACAGCAGCCATTTGAAGGCTACTTTGTGTTATGTTAATCCAAGGGCTTTTACTGAGTTGCAGGTAGAATTCGTATTTAGCATTGAACCCATTCCATGAGGTGGAATAATGTATTGTCTTCCCACAGGCTTTGAGTTACAGCTACAATATGTGCTTTTCTCTGAGCCAGTTTCTAGTTGTGATGCTGTCGCTGCCTTTCAGGCTGATTGGATTTGGATCTTTCTGAAGCATTGCACGTGCCATAAATCATCCTTGCAGCTTCTACTCCATTTCCTAGAAACCTGGAAACTATAAGCATGAAAGAGTTCAAAGTAGTTTCTCTGGCTCAATATTATTTTTTGACAGCATCAAGTGATGTGGATTTCATGGAAAGAGATTTTCCCTGCTCCTGAATTTTGTACTTTAGGACTTCAGGTATTTTTAAAAATAAAGTATTTGAAGAGCAGCTTAGACCTAATTTTATTCCAGGCAGTGTAACCTCAAGTACACAACGAAGTATTCATTTCTTCAGTTTACACAGTTGCAATCTTATATATTTGGATTGTGTATCTCTGGAGAAAAAAGTGCTGAATAAATAATTCCAGGTGCCAAAAAGCTGGTTGAATGCTCAGTGAGCGAATTCCTTATGAACCAGAATGATCCTGGAGTCAGACAGCATGGCTTGATAAGTCTTCTGTGGAAAGGAAAACACTTCTATTCTTATTTCTCTAATTAATTTCAGAGGGGATGGAGTAACAGTCTTGCTGTTCTGTGGTGATGGAGAGCATTGAATGAAATGAAAGACACAATGAACTTAAGGTGTTTAAACAGGAACATGACTTTTTCATAAACACCTCACTTCCCTTGGGACAGTAATTTTCATGTTGTTCCCAAGCTACCAAGCCCATTGCACTGGTTTTCCTTGCTGGGTATTTTAAAGATTAAATTAGCTCCAGTTAGAGATGTAGAAAGAGAACTGGCTGATGGATAGGATGGAGGGGAGGGTATGTGTGTGTGGAGTTTTTATAATTTATATTTATATTCTATGTTTTTGCCTTTGGCATCACACACTTTTGCATTGGATTATTTTTTTTTTAATTGAATGAAGAATCAAAATAAATACTAGACAATCTTTATCTGTAGATTTCATTTAGGCTGCTGAATGTGAAGGAAAAGTTAGATTTCAGCATTTCAGTCTTGACAGTGAATTTAAAAATTCACCAGAAGCATTCTTAAGCAACATACAAATTTACGCATAAATATGGCACATTTAATGTATCTCAAGCCACAAAACTAAAATCCTGGCAGTGTTTAGTGAATGAAAGATTAATAAAAATTTAGGTGTTAATCTGGTTCTGTTGTAGTGCATATTCTGGTGCAGTAATGTACTCTTGGCTGTTAGGCTACCTCTGTAATTGGGAGTCTAGTGCTTCTGGACTTTCATATATCTAGTCTTATACAGACTGACAGGACAGCTGTCAGAGCATTATTGTGCAGGCTTTTAGCTGTCTGTCAGCAAAGGTAACCTCTGCTAATCTGCCCAGGAGCTGCTGCATTCCAGAGGTGTGCAGGGAGAACAGGCAAGTGGGACTGTGGGGCTTTGCCAAAGGCACTTGCAGCAGAGCTGCTGGGTTTTGTTGGCTTGCTTTCATTGTATTGTCACCTGCTGAAAACATCTGTGATCTCCATTTAATGTGTCAATTAATGCCAAGAAGATTTTTGTTATCTAGAAAGGGTTTATAAAACACAAGTGTTTCTTGAAAGCAAATACTGACCTGAGGCTAGAGAGGTGTCTTTTGTCCTGGCTTTTGTGCCTTGTCGTAGGAGTAATGACTGGGCAAGAATGGGAATGGCATAACGCACTTTAGAGTTCCAAGAGCCTTTAGGGCCACTGAAAGTCCCTATGAAAATAACCCTTGAAGGAATCTGGGGACTGGGGTAGGGGATCTGCGTGCTGGATGTGCCACACAGCTCCAGGTGTGCTCCAGGTGATGGGTGGGAAGAAGACATCTCTGCACCAGTGTCATTGTGCTGCTGAGGTGGCACTGACTGCAGCCTTCTGTGCTCTCTCCACAATGTTCTTCTCAATCCAATACCCAGTTTTCCAAGTGTTAAAATGCTTCCTCAGACCTGAAAACAGAGAAGAGATGTAATGAGGGCAACTGTAAGGAGGTAATGAAGTAAAAAAGAGGGGCTGATGGCAAGGGCCATATCTGTAGAGAGAACATGCTGAAAAGATGCTTTGTTGGAAAATCTTATCTTCCATGTCTTGAAGCTTTTCCTTTCTTCAACTCCTGTGGAGAATCAAAGAGTGGTTTAGGTTGGAAGAGACCTTAAATATCATCCAGTTCCCACTCCCTGCCATGGGCAGAGAAAACTTCCATTAGATCAGGTTTCTCAAAGCCCCATGCAACCGGGCCTTGAACATTTCCAGAGATGAGACATCCACAGGTTCTCTGGGCAAATTGTGCTGGTGTTTCATTACTCTCATAGTAAAGAATTTCTTCCTTACATCCAATCTGAACCTTCCTTCTGTCAGTTTACAGTCATACTCACTGGTTCTGTTACTACATGCCCAGGTAAAATGTCCCTCTCCAGCTCTCTTGTAATTCCCCTTTGTCTACTCAAGGCCACAGTTAAGGTCACCTTTGAGCCTTCTTTGCTCCAGGTTGAATAACCCCATCTCTCTCTCTTTGTCTTCATAGGGGAAGATGTTCCAGCTTTCTGATGATCCTTGTAGGCTTTTCTGGACGTGCTCCAGCAGGTCCATGTCTTTCCTCTGCTGGGGACCCCAGAGCTGGATGCAGCACTGCCGGTTGGGTCTCATGAGAGTGAAGCAGAGCTCCCCTCCCTCTCTGCTGCCCACAGTGCTTTGGATACAGCCCAAGATGCCACTGGCTTTTTTTTTTTTTGGCATTGCAGAGTCACGCTGAGCTTCTCATCCATCAACACCCCCACGTCCTTCCCCTTGGGGTTATTCTAAATGCAGTCTCTGCCCAGCCTGCACTTGTGCTTGAAAGTAAAAGGACTGTGTGTCTGCATAGCTTTTGCAAAGCACTTTCTCCCTTCTTGTGGTCATTATGGAATGGGTAAACCACTGGAATGTAACCTGGAGATAAATTTGTCTTGGGAAGGGAACAGCCTAGCTTATTTTGTAGTCTTTGTTTTCCTTGATTCTGTTCTTCTTTGCATCCAAGTGAGCTTTGGCAACAAACACTTCTCTTCCATGCATGCAGCATGTGCCAGGCTTTATAATCCATCCAATGTTCCCAGCTATTCAGCAAACTAAAAGAAAGGGTGAAGGGAATAAGGTCAGAAGAAATGCTTTGTATTGCTAAAATCCTGCTTTTCTGCATACAATTCCAGTGTTCCATTCCTTTGAAATGCAGATGACTTTCCCATCAAAAATCTAGTCCACCATACCAAAAAAAAAAAAAAAAATGGAATAGGCCTTACATAGGCTGATTGGTTGTTTATTTTCAGATGAAGGTGAAAAAGAGAAGAAAAATGCTTGGCTTCTTCATGGTGCAAAAAGGCAAGCAAAAATATTTGTGTAGTTAATAGTTAATTCCACATTTATCAAAGTAATCATTATTTGGTGAATTCATCAAAAAAGAAACTATATAGACATTTGACCATAAACATAAGGAAAAGTAAAAAAAATTGCTGATCTTTTCTCTCTCTGACTCCTTTTGTGGAGATTGATGTTCGTTTTACTCAGCAAGTCGGATGATGAACCACTTGTTAATTAAGTGGTTGAAAGGTATAGTTGAAAGAGGAGTTTAGAGCCTGAGACAGCTCAGCATGGAGGAAACCACCTTTGTGATCAATCTTGTCAGGTTTACACCTTAATTAAAATTATCTTTGGCAGTGTGAAGGCAGCTCAGTTGCTGGGAAAGTGGACACTAAGCATTTTGCTGTGGTCATTTGGGAACAAGAGTACTGCAGGGATCAGCAGCCAATACTGCTCCCACCAGGAAGAGCCCACAGTGGGCATTGCAGTACAGCGGGCTCGGAGCATCGGGACAGATCCGGGCTGCATCAAGGATCACTTCCTGTGGGGAAACAGCTCAGGGCTACAAAACTGCAGCCCTGCCTGAAATTCCATGTGATCCTGTGCCAGCCATTTGTCATCCTGCACTTCTGGTCTCTGTCACATCTTTTGCCTCTCTTTCTGAGGCATTTGAGCTACATAGGGCGGCAGTGATCTCAGTCTGGGAAAATGGTGATGTAGGTGTAGAGAAGTGGAAAAGGTTGAGCACTTATTGGAAGAACTGATTTTTGCTTTGTTTGCAAGTTATTTACCATGAATTGACTTTAATGAAGTGTCTATGAAAAAAAGGAAGACTAGTTTGAGGGGGAAGAAAAGTAATTGTCCCCCATGCTGTCCTGTCATAGTTATATAAAAAATAATATAATTGATTACACCAAACAATAGATTTTTTTTTTACTTGGTTGCTGAACCAACTCATTAAAAAAAATCTGTAATTTAAGACCCCTTGAGCTTTTTATTTTGACTCAATGTTTAATTTGATTTGGAGGAGTTAATTATTTTGCATAATTAAACTTAGACTGGTTTGACATTAAAAAAAAAATCACAATGAAAAAGTATTTTTTTTTAGAATATGTTGAAATTCAAGATTTCAGCATCATTGGAAACAAGAAGCTCTCAGAAAATTTCACAATGAAATATGCACTGTTCCAAAATCCCTCCTGCCTTTTTTGTTTTGTTTTTGTTCAGTTTGTTTTGTAGAATACTCCCACCAACTGTGGGCTGGATTCAGATATAAAGTTTCTCTCTCTGTCACAGCTTTTTTCAATGAATTTTCTATTCACAAAAAAATTTGTTCTCATCTGGTTTTAGCTGTATTCTTTGGAAAATGCTTATTTTCTTTGGAGAAGTCAGAGGAAAAAAAAGTAAAATTTTTGTCACTTCCATGATTGCTGTCATGAATCCATTGATGTGCATGACAGTTTACCAATCACTCAGGTTATTGGTAAAGGAAAATGAATTATCTACTTTGTTCAAGACAGAAAATGAAAAGCAGTTACCAGAAAATCACATCCTGGGGAAGGAAATGAGTCCATTTTAACAAGTTTATGAGGGAGAGCTTCATTACAAAGCATAAAAAAAGGAAACACATGAAAAGCCTGTTGGACTCCATCTGTTCATATGATTCCTTTGATGGGAATCTAACTGAAGGCAGTTAGAGAATCAGAGAGAAATTCATTGTTTCTTTTAAATAATAATTACAAATGGGTATGTGTGTTCTTCTGCAATAATTAGCAAGTATGTTTTGAATAGAGTACTTTTCAGAAAATAAACTTGCACCAACCAGTAACTGCTTAATGGCTGGTAAAGTGTAGTGTTCTTAAATGGATGTGCCCGCTCAAGAGGGAATGTTATAATATTATTATTCATATTCATGCTGTTTAGTCTAGAGAAGAGAAGGCTTGGGCAGTTAGAGTCATCTTGTTGTATATGAAAGCCTTTTGCAAGAAAGCTACAGGACTGTGGTTTTCCCTGTACTGTTTAGGGCACAGAGCTCAAGCCAAGGAGGATGAAGATGAAGGGTTGGTGGTAGAAGTGGCTCAAGAATTCCTCCTGTTTGCCTGGGGCCCCTTGCTCAGCTCCAGCTGCTCACTACTTCAGTCATGCTGATCCAAACCTGTGTAAAGGTAGAGCAGATTGCTTCAATCATCCAGGTTAGAACAACAATAATAATCCTTTGCTGAGTGGGAGAAGGGAGCAGTTGAAAAGGCCCTGGATGACTCTCTTCTTGATGGAGACCCAACTCTTTTTTTCAATGACTCCATACTTTAGCAACAGTCCAAATTACAGAATCATAAAATCAGTGAGGTTGGAAAAAAACTCTGACCAGGACCCTTGAGTCTGACCTATGACTTGCATAATTTTTCAGTCTGTTGTGGGTAGGAAAATGTGCTCCACGGAGGTTCTGACTCAGTAGCTTCAGTAAGGACTTTACTGAGCTGCCTACCCATGTCCAGAGATGTCCCTGGCCTTGGAACGTGGGTTGTGCCAAGAATAAAATAGCTGGATGATGGGACCAGCCTTGTACAATCTGCCATGAGAGCAAATTCTACAGCTACTACCAGTCTTCAATGTATTTGCTAATTTTTCTTGGTATAGATGATTTTTGGTATGCAAGCACTACACAGGCATGATTTGTCTTGCCCTCAGCACAGTTTTAAGGAATTGCTAATAATCCTATTTCCTCTCTGATTTTTAAAGTCAAAGTGCAATCCCCTTCTTTTTGGTCTGTTCAATTTTTCATGCACATATTTGCATGTAGTAGTGAGAAATTTTTTATGGTTTATTTGTTATCATATAGCTATTAACATTTTAATTATATAAATAGAGGTGAGCTGGACTACTGAAAGGAAATCCTGAGCCTTACCTGTACATGTTTTATCTGCCAGAAGCAAGGTATTTTTACGGCTCTGAATTAATCTTTTATTTTTTTCCCCTGGAAGCGTTCTTCCAGAGGAAATTTCCAAATTCTGTCCTCCCATTGTGATCGTGAATGGGTCTTGGTTTTGTTTCAATTTCCATGGCAACAGAAAAATTTGTTTTCTGGCAGTGTTTGAATACAAAATTATAATTTCCCTGGGCTCTTTTGAATATGTCAGTTTACATTTTTGCCCCCTCAAGTGTTTTGAACCCCTGTCCTTAACCCCTTGACTCCATTTAATTATGTGAAATCTCTTTTTCCTTAGCCAGGACAGACAGTTTTTTTCCCACACTTTCTTTATTTTTTAGATACAATTTGATTCCGTGTGCTGATAGCAGAAATATAAGCCACATTTTATACTTAGGAGTTAAATTCTTTCCTTAGAGGAAATTGGTACTTTTTAAATTATTTCTAAGAACTGAACTTACTTCAAATCTAATTTCAAGGTTGTGGAATATAACCACTTTAATTTTAAAGTCAGGACCTAACTTTCTTTGTTATGTTTTACGTAAATTCACGTATTTTACATCATCTGACATGTTCATCAGCCAGACCATGAGTGTGCTTGAAGAGTGCCAGCTATATAATCATTAAACTTTGCACTGAGTCTCCTGTGATTTTCAACAAAATACTACAATTTATTCCTGAATAGTTGCCAGACATCTGTGGTTTGCAGACCTTCATCATTCACTGTATAAATGATGATTGTATTTAACATCTGACGTCACCTGTGCCACCTAATTATCTTAAGTACTAGAAAGCTTCAAGATCCATGGTTTAAATTCAAGCAACCTCTACAGTTTGAATGTGAAAGATGAATAGAAGAAAGTCAGGGACACGACAGTCTTATTCTTCTGTCCTTTGTCTACCTGTTTAGCTGCTTCCACAAGCATCAGTGCAGTGAATTCCATCTCCGTGTCCCCCCAGCCAGTATTTAATCTGTGAATCACGCTGCTAATGCCGTTGTACCTCTCGGAGTCTGGCCAGTTTTCTTGCTCAGTTCATTTCCAGCTGAGCTGGAATACATGCGTGATTCCTTAACTGGAGAGGAAGATACTTCTAAGAGATCCCCAAACCTTTCCCTACTCTTTTACCCCTCTCTGTCAAACCAAATTAAGGCAGCACTCAGAGCACCTGCCTGTGCAGATCTGCATCCTGCCTCGCTTTGATAAAGGAGAAAAGAGCCAGCAACCCTGACATGTGAGTTACTGGCAACAAGATAAAGCCTAGAATGAGTTAATGGGGTAGTGCAAACCTTTGAACTCTGCTTTGCCACCACAACAATCATATTATTAAGGGAAAAACTGAAAATACAGATCTGCTTGGAATACAACTTCTGGGATAGATTGCCTCTTCAGAGGACAGCTGGTACCCACAATAGGCACTCCCAGATGCTTCCTAACTTTTAGAGAATGTTGTGCTGATAGAAGGTAACTTTCATTTCATTAAAGCATTAATAAGATTTAACTTCCAGCATTGCCTATTTGGGCAGTTATATGCAGTCTTTTTTATTTATAGTCTTTTGCTATATGTATTCATGCCTTTGGTGTAGTTGCTTATTATTAATAGATATTTATATTATATAGACTTTTTTGATTCTGATACAAATGAGTTTTCTGTTAATGTTGAGACCTCAGCTTAATAATGCACTCTGCAAACTCTACTGTTTGAAAGTCATGATAAAGCTTCTCTGTAATTTTATTTTTTGCTCTCAGTGAAATATAATCAGCATGTATTCATTACCAGCATAGATATTTATAACTATATCTGATTTGTTTTTCTTAGCTGTTAGATCTTTTATTACTTTTCTTGCATGGATTATCTGAGAAAACAGCCTAGGCTTTAAGCTGTGGGAAGAGTAAGTTCTTATATCTTAATATGTGCCAAGCAAACCTATCATGTCACTCAGCTGATTTGAGAGCTGTTTTTCTTTTAGATAAATATTTTTAAGACTGCATCTATTTATGACTTTAGCCCCTTGTGAATGGTTACTGGAGGTCATCTGTTGGTTCAGAAGTATCTGTTAATCATGCAGGAAAGGGAGCATGGGTGAAACATAAGGATTTCTTCCTGTGGGAAAGTGAGCAATCATTTTTGTTCTAGATTAGTTCACTAGAAACTGTGAAACTGCATTCCAGTCCATGCCTTTGTAAACATTTAAAATGACATTTCCAGTTTCTGAAGGTGTAAAGAAACAACTGTTTTTTTTTTTTTTTTCCAGCATCTATTCCTATTCAGTCATAAAACTTTACCTTTAATGAATATTGGAAAGCCATTTACAGGATAATGTCAAAAAAGAAAAAATGCAGCTTCTTTTGTTTAAGTATCCAATGATTTTTAATGCTTCATTTTCATCTTTTGACATATTCAGGTAGATGATACTCAAATAATTTTTAAACCCCAGAATTTTCATTGTGTGCCAAATGAATGTGCATCTTTAATAAATACTGCAGGAATTAGAATAATTCAGAATAATTTGTATCAAAATGTGTTTATTTTTTACTGACCCATCCATAAAAATATTCTAGCACACTAGAAATCCGAAGCTGTGGTGGCTGTGAAGGACAGACAGATGCCCTGCTCTCAGCAACACAAGTCTATGAGCTTCAAGTGGACTAGGACTGAAAGAAAAACAGAATCCACAGCCCAGCCTGAGCCCTCTGGCAGGACGAGGAGGAAGGACTTCTCCCGGGCTGGGAATGAGCTGTGTTTGTTCTCTGGAGGTCACTGGTGAACAAAGGCAGCTGTGCAGTTCCCAGCCAGAGGAGGTCTCGCTTGAAAGCTGGTGGGGAACTTTGGGAAGCCCAGGACAAAGCTCTGCAGGCTGAAGCTGAGAGGAGGACAAGGTGCAAGGGCAGAGGTCCTGGAGTGAGGTGGTGGAGGGAGTTGTTCAAGCACTTCTTCCTCCGTAAACTCTTCGGAGTGGCACAAGTAGTCTGGAGCCATAGAGTGATATCAGGAGTTAATTGTGTCCATGAACAAGGAAATCAATTTGTAATTATTTTACAAACTGCAGTCTTTTCAGAACTTTTCTTGTAGCTGCCATCTACAGTAGAAAAACTTACTGTTGGTACAAAGACATTTACAGATGAAATCAAGAGGGGTGAGGAGCCCAAGTAGTCATAGCTTTGCTCATTTTAAGAATCCCTAAACTACAGACCACTCCAGTCCGTTTTCTGATCCCTGTGAATGGGAAGTGTTTGTAAATTTTGTTTTGGAAAGGTCCTATGTTCTAGGCCATCATGGTTACTATATCTTCTCTCAGCAGAGGAGAATATTAAAGCTGTTCCACAGGACGTTGTCCTTTCCAGGGGAATGGCGTTATGGCTTACTGTAATGCTGTCTGGAAAACAAAACCAGATCTACTACTCTTCTATATCCCTCTTTTAATGAAATTTGTCTCTAAATCCTTTTAAGCTCTTTTCTTTTTTCTATTTTTTTTTTAACTTCTTTCCTGAGAGATTGGAGATAGCAGCACTCTAGCAGTATTAGAAAAATACAATTTTTGTTTACTTTGTTATTTTGTGACAGCTGGCTTTGACAAAACAATGGATTGATTTTATCTGCTCAGCAAATGATTTTCATTCATCTGCAGCCCTGGAAACCTGCTTGGATCTCGGAAATTCATCTGGTCCCAGTTTCAAATTGAATTGTCTCATTTTTATTTGGGATGAGTGACCATGGAAACTTAGATCATAATTTCATGTCTGTGCATCCCAATCCACTCATCCCAGTCCTCTTCCATTTCCAAAACAAACTTTGGTACTTCTCAACTGTAACTGTTGGTTCTAAATTTTCTGGAGGGTATTTATGGCACAGAATAACTGTTCAGGGAAACATGCCTCCTTCAGTGAATTCTTATTTGTGTGCATATGCTTTCCTTGGAAATATTAATGTTGGATTTTCTCTTTATGCCCAGCGACTGCCATTCTTTGCAAGGTTCTTTTGACTGTGTAGATAATAGCAGAGAATAAGAAGGTATTTTACAAGAGTTTGCTATTTGGATCTGGCAGATTTCCATTAGTTAACATATCTTTGTGAGCTTCCCAGAGACTCCCATTTTTAGGAACAAAATGGTCAAAGTAAGTTGCTGACTAAGCAGTAGTTGAAACAGACCTCTAGGTGACATCTCTGAACATCACAGATATTCTTGGTCACAGAAAGTCTGAAGGTTCCTGACTGGGATGCTTTCATCAGACACGATCATTGTACCCTAATTGGTTGTAATTTACTTTTACCCTCAAAACACAGGGCAGAGACCCCAGCTGAGCATCTCTGGAGGTCAGAGTCAGTGGAGACATGGAAAAAGCAGCTGGTAGCAGACAGCCACTAAACAATGAAACCTCATTCCTGGTCAGAGCTTGAGCTGTGGCAGAGGAGGAGTCACTGACCTCTCTGGGATCTTTGCATCCTGTCCTGAGCTTACCAGCATTTATCAGCTCTACTAGCTGCTGCATTTCATTTGACTTCAAGACAAGGCATTTCCTTTAAGAACTGCTTTGATGAGTGCAATTCCTGTTGGAGTGGCTGAGAGTCTGAGTGCAGTGACTGATGACCTGCCCTGGGAATGGCTCCTTAGCCTGAAGAGCAGATGTGAGATTCAGCAGTAGCTAGTGGCACTCCTTCTCACTTACCTGACCTGCACCCAGACTGTGACTAAAGGAGATAGAAGGAGTATGAGTTAAGAAACTTGGTGAGCTTGGTGATTGTAAACAAATTAGACCACTGTACATTTTTTGTTTTCCTTTGGTATTACTGATAGTAACTGGTTTGTTCATTGCTTATCAATACAAGCAGCAAGATATATTGTTACTCAAGCGTTTTGAGGCTCAGTAAAATGGATATTTTAAGTTTGTTAAACGGGTTGTTTTACTTAATAACATTTACTTACCTGATAGGATGGAGTAAAATTTTATTTTCTCTATTTCCTTACATCTGCACTGCAGGTGATTGACCTTCTGTAGCCTGCCTAGTAAAGGGAAGTGGAGACTTGGTATATATTGGTTTTAAAAATTTTACAGATTAATGTGAATTCTGCAAGAGATTTTGGGCAATGTTTTTCTACATTCTCAAAAAAAAAAAATAGAATTATTGTGAGGAAAAAAAATTTTTCAAAAGACTGGAGTGTTTGCTTTTCATCTGAGACAAGCAGACTTTATTAGCAGAATTAAAATATTTTAAAGGCACACACCCCTTCATGAAGCTGATTTCCGACTGATATGTCCAAGAATTAACACCCTTCTCCAGAGGTTCACTGTGCATCGTCAAGAAAAATAACTTCAATTATTTTAACATTGGCTAATATGTCTCAAAGTTGTAATAAATCTTTGACTGAATGTGAAACCCAAATACTTTCTTAAGTTTTCCTTTGGTTTGTTGGATAGGAGAGCCACTAGTTAAAAATTCTAAACACTTTGTTTGAAAATAATGTTTTACAGCGATTGCTTGACTTCTGTGGGCATGAGAGAGATTTTTCTAAGTGGTCTGGTGCATTAGTGCTCATAACTCTAGTTTGTGCCTGTGATTATTTCCTGGTGCTGACTGAAGAAAGAGATCATAAAATCAAAATACAAAGCTTTTAGCTGTACTGGTGGCTAACTGGAAATCAACATCTTCACTCACTGGATAGGGACAGGACTAAGTGGCAAATCTGACTAAAAATTGGATAAAATCTCCCAGAAGATGGCAGTGCACCTATAAGTAGTGTTCTGCCAATTTGGCAATTTATGTAATTTCTAGCTGTTTTTTTTTCCCCAATATTGCATGCAATGTAATGACATCAGCTGCAATGTGTGTGTTTGGATACCAATGGTACTTTTGATCTTGAAATCTGGAGTGAGGTACTCGTAATTCCCAAAGGCCTGTCCTGCAGGGATGGTGATGGACTGGATACTTTTGGTAGGTTGACAAATTGCTCAGCACTTTGTTACACTCACCAGCAGAACGAAGATCCCCTTTCCTTTGGAATCCTTCAGATAATTCCCATGCAAAACCCACTGACTACATCCAGAGCTTTAAAAGATGTCTGAATTCTCAAAGTGTCATTGCTTTCAGAGATATGGATATTGTAGGATAAGAGTTACTAATAAGAGGAATAAATAATGAGGTTTAAAGTCTGACCATGTTATATCTTTGCTGCACTGCTTCTCATCAAAGAATTTCTTCATTCAGTTATGGATCAAAAGCATATGTTCAAAATTACCAAAAAGTACTACTTCTATATTAGTGGTCATCTAAGAGCAATTGCTGTAAGTTTAGGGAAATTTCCAAATCAGTTTCCTAAGCAGGAGTCTAATGTGGATTTTCAAACAATCCACAAATCGTTTGAAAGTTTGATCAAACTTGTTTGACTTGTTTAACCTTTCAAAAATTGATCCTTATTATTTTATTTATTTTGGAATTAGCCATAGGGAATAGCAATATCTCTTTTTAAGAATTCATCTTAACTTATAGCTATAATTTGCAAACAAAACCTAGTAGTTTTTCTATAGTAATCATCTTATGAGCTGTTTGATATGCATATTTACATGAATAAGCAAGTCTGTTTATGTAATGCACCTGAATGAAGAGATATTTTTAAAGAGTAGAGAAGGAAAAGCGGAGGTTTTAGACCCATAACAGTGCTTACATCTAAATTTTTGAAAGTAAACTTTACCATCTCCATCTGTCTCATCCAGAATTGCTACCAGAAAGCTAAAGATCACTTAAGTATTTATCTCTGTAGCTTAGTCTGATAAAAACATTACATGATGGCTCATTTGTAACCATTTATTTAGTTTTCCAAACAGCAGAAATCCACTAGAATTAAAAAAAAAACCAAACCAAAAACAAACAACAACAACAACAAAAAAAAAAAAAACCACCACCAAAAAAACACATTAAAATTACAGCTCTTTCTTTAACATAAAGAAGAGCTGAAGAAATGATTGTGTGCTCTTATTCTGCAGTCAGATGTAATTGCATATTCTTGTCCTACGGTTTAGACACTGTGGATGCTAATTCTACTAAATTAATATACACTACATCATTTCCTTTGCACAAAGCATAAAACTAAGCAAGGAGTTAAAATATAGCACAAAGCATAAAACTAAGCAAGGAGTTAAAATATAGTGCTTTTTTGTTTGTTCTATTTTAATTTCATTTCTCTCCTCCTCAAGTAAGCCATGGAAGCTGCAAGACACATTGGGTTCTTAATTCTTTAGATGTCTACTGTCCATTTTAAAAGTGTGTTTGTTTTGAGTTTGTTTCATCATAGAGCATCTTTAGTCTCTTTTAGGGCCCACCTGTGAACTGTACCTGTCTTGACCATAAACTGAGGCAAAATCTTCCTCAGCACCCAAAGAGACCCAGCAGCACCTTCCCACTCCAGTGGCCAGCAGAGCTTTGTAGCCCATCCTTGATGGCCAAAATCACAATCCATAGATTCTGTGAGGAGGGCAGCAGTGACACCTATGATCCATTCACCAGTAGAACCAGTGGTATATGTTGCCAATACCCACTTCTCCATCTAATAATCCAGCTTTCACTACTGGCAAGCATCCTTCCCTTTGTCAGGAGAGGGCTCACATGAAATCCCCAACCCCCCTGCCAGTCACCTTTCTCACATCACTTTCTGGGTGCTTGCACGACTCGCAGTGCTGGTGTGACTGATGGAGCTTCTGGGTTCTGTGCAGCTGCTCAAACTGTAACTGCTGCCATTTGCTGCTGCCTCGGTGTAATCTGGATGTGCTCTGACATGTAAATGATGCTGCTTGCTATTTACTTGTTCCTACTGTTTAAAATCTCAATAAAACTGAAAAATGCCTCTATACAAACTGCAATTATCTCAGCTGACTATTCCACAATAAGGCAAGCTACCTCAGCACAAATAAAATGTTGACTTTACTTTCTGTATTTTCCCCTGTGTTTTTTAGTGAATTGTCCATCTTTAATGTCACTGATGAGGTAAATCCAACCTTGTTATTTAGCCTACAGCAGTGTTATTCTGGCCAAATTCTGGAATCTTTATGAAAGCAAATCTATTTATATTAGGGACCATAAAGACACTACTAAAAATGAAGGATTACAGTGTGGGATTTTCAGGAGGGTCAGTGACTCACAGAGCATTTTTCTTTAATTTGTTTTGTGAACCATGTTTGGCTTATCAATAAAGCTGCTGTAATTAATAGTAACTGTAATTAAACCATTAAAACTGTCTTCTGCCATAGGCTTAATGGTGATTAAATTTTCCCAGTGTGTGTACCTGGGATACTGAACTTCACCTGATACTTTCTTCCAGTAGTAGCTGTGTACTGTAGTGTGTTGTGAGGAGGTTTAAAGTGATTTCATATCCAGCCACATATTGCCTACCTTGTAGCTAATATGGACCTACCTGTCTTTCCCAAAAGCCTGAAGTTCAGTTAATAGAACCCCTTGAAACTATGTGAACTGTATTGGAGTGTTTCTGACAGTTCAGTCACAGCTTTGTGGATACGGAAAGTATGGGAAGCTGGCTGCAGTCTTTCTGCAATATTTAACTGTAACTAATAGCCTGATGCTCCCAGTGCTCCCCTAGGAAGCAGGAAAGCCAAGTCTGACTTCCCCTTCAGCCACAGTGGTTTCAAACATTAGGTCCCAGAGCAGCCCTCACCTGAAATTCATCTTTCTCTTGAACACTTGTCAACAGGCAGCAAAAAAAAAAAAAAAAACAAAAAAACCACGATAAAAAGGATGCTTCAGTGGGACAGGAGGATCTTGAAGGTATCAAGGGTGACCAGCACTTGACCAGTTTGTATTGGATTGCCCACAGTCCTGTTACAGTCCCAAGTTGTGTTGTAGCCTCTCCGTCTGCTGTTCACACTCTCTCCTCCCATTGCCAACCAAATCTATGCAATCCACTGCATCCAGTGTCCTGCAAACCACTTTTCTAATTACTGGTGGGAATAGCAGTTTAGGTGGCCTGAAAATCCTGGAAAGAGAACCAGATGCTCCAACAGCATTGTCACTTTTTTCAGCTCATACTGAAAACAATCTGGCCAAAACTGGCCTCCTTGATACTCTTCAGTGATGCTCTGGAATTACACACATTTCTGTTATGATTCAAAGCCAGAACTCACAGGAAAAAAGCTACTTTATGGTACTAATTTGGCTGATGTCTGCACACAGAGTCAAGTGGGTACACAGGCTGTATGAGGTGTTTTGAATACACTCAGACTAAAAGTACAGGACCAAATTTCAATGAGACTCAAAGTGGATTTTGTTAGGGTACTCTTTACAGAGGAACTGCCTGTGTTTGGAGCTTTCACAATGGTTCTGTCACTCTCCTTTTCATAAGTCTTTAATCTGTCTTTTCAACTGAAGGTGCAGACAAGCATCTTCTGTGCCATGTAACCTTGGAAAATGCTAACTTTTGTGACTAGGTTCTACTTGACAGATAACACATTTCCAGCAGGATACTGAATTTGGGCCTTTTCCTATTGAGTTCTCGTCCCAGAAAATCAGTATTTTTATAAAGTGCTAAGTCTTCCCCCAGAGGCATTCAGTGCACTGTAGAGGGAAGAGAAGGCTTGGACACAGCCTACAGCATTGCCTGTACCAACCTGTTGCAGATGGGGTCGCTGCCTTCCCAGCCCAGTGATCCAGGCACAGGAGGAGTTGAAGAACTGCTTTCCTTCCCAAAACCATGTTTCTGGCCCCTGAATGAAGTGTGTGAATAAAATATCTTCGAAATTCTGTGCTGCCACTTCACAGAATGAGTGGTGACAGAATAAGTTGGCTTCGTGCCTCCATGGTGTTTTCAGTATGGATGCTGAGGAATTGCATCAAAAAGGTGTCTTGGAGGGCATCATCTTTGATGGACAGAAGAGTCAGGCGAGGGATTCAGGCTGGAAGGACCTTGTAAAGGTCTGCAAAAAAGGTGAGTTGACTAACTGATGAGTTCAAGCCTCCTGAGGAGCAGTGATGTGAACCAGACACAAATTCTCTTCAGCCAGGGATTTAACAATCTTAAGCCTAAACATGCACACCCAGTGAGAGGATTTAAACACAGGAACAAGGTCTCCTTGTGGAAAACCTGTTGAGAGGCTATGTTACAATACAGAGTTTATATCCAGCTAAAGATATGTTCAGGAAAGGAGAACATTAGGAGAGTGGTGAGAGAAATATAAGTTTCTCACAACTGAGTTTCTCACAATTGTTTGGGCAGCTCTTCTGCTATGCATGTAAGCAAATACAAAGTAAAGCACCTTTCCTTTATCAAGACCCTGAAATAGCCATATATACTTCCTCCTATGCTGCATTTTTTTTTTTATTCATCCTGCCAAAAAAACCCCTTATTAATTAATTACAGGCTGATGTCTATGCATGTACATACTTTTCTCTAAGAATTGTGGAGCAAGGTGCTCAGATATGTAGAAACAGTAAATTCTGTAAAGATTTTTTGTGCTAAATCATGAATCTTACTGGCTGAAAAATAAACCATACAGCTTGTCAGGTTTAATACAAGTAGCAGAGTAATAGTATTGATTTTGTGTATTAAGTATTTATTTTATTTTTAATCACAACCTAGTTTTCTCTACAACACTATCAGGTGAATTATAGAAGGTGGATCTTAATATTTAATATTAGTTAGTTAATAGTCAAGTTCAAAGAATACACAATTAGGCCTATTGCAGACTTTCAATGCACTTAAGATGTCCTTGTTGCCACAGAAGGGTTGTAGATAATTCCAACTGAAGTGACTACAGTGTAGTACTTTTGTATCTTTGTAACTCAGTCCTTCAAATGACTGTTTTAGGTCCTTAAGATCTCTTTGGATTACCTATATCTTTATCCTAAAATAACCTCAATCTTTAGGGTTATGAATAACTGTCAAGACAAGATGATTTTTTTCTCTTTTCCCAATGAATCACCTTCAGGTTTCAGTAAATTGAAGAGCAGTTACACTGCAGGAGGAGGGAAGAGTGCCTTGATGAAGCATTTTTAGTCTGAACTTCTGCATGTGGGTCTGCATTAAATTACTGCTCTGACAAAGTACCAATCCCATCTCTGGAACCAAAGGTGCTGAATAAGCTTTACAATTGAAAAGAAATGCAATTCCATTTCACTTCTTTGAATTCAAAGTGGAGAGTTTAAGAAAAGCAGAGTATTAGAGTGTTCTGACTGGAATACATGAAATAGAGAGGTGATTTTTATTTATTATATCTATTATATATTTGCATATCCTTATACATATATACATACATATATGCAACATTTATATATCTATTTTTGCATGAGTGTGGTGTATTTAATTGACTTAGTAAATGCACATAGAATAAGCTTCTAGTATTAAGAACCTTTTAAATTATTTCTCTGAAATGAATGTAAATGGCTTGATAGAAGAGAGTTTTTAGAAACTTCTTCATTCAGTATGAACTGTAAAATTCTTCATGACCTAAAAGAAACTGCAGCAGAGCTAGGACTGAACTTGGTGAGGGTCAAACTCCAAAACAGTCTTATAGATCTTTTTTCCCCAACTTATTTTTCTATTTTTTATATATATAGCATTATCTTTTCTATCATGGCTTTATATACCTTTGGATGTGAAGAGAAAGAAGTCCCTTACATTCATCAATGATGCCTCAATAGATGCCATTCTGTATTTGCGAGAAAAGTGTATCAATTGTTCAGAGTTGGTTTGATTCAAAAAAGAGCCTAGAAAGGTACGTGACAACCTTGAACAATGGACCCCATCTAAGTGGGCCATCGACAGAGACTTTGTCCCGTGCTGGCCATGAGCCAAAGCCACTACTTCTAAAGGTATTTGATTGACATCACCCCAGGAAACACTTTCTCTCTTCTTCACAGAGTCTTGGATCATATCAGCCATTGACTCCCAGAAATGTTCAAAGGATTTTTGTAGGCATCCAAAGCTATTTTTATGGCTCCATTCTTGGAAGATGGAAAAATAGGGGAGACAAAGCAGATGAGATCCTCTTCTGCCGCTGAAACCCCTGTAGTATCCAGTTGCAGGAGGGAATCCTTATCTCTGAGAGGATTACTAACTCTTATCAAATATTCCCTCTCTGAGACCTTGGACAGAAGTTAGAAGACAAGGAACTGCTATTTTATGAGGTGAGACAAGTCAGATTTTCTGCCCTTTCCCTGCAAAGCTGTCTAAGCAGCTGTGGTGACAGCTAACAGCAGAAGATAAGCAAATGATTGACTAGTGTTTTCAGGAATATCAGGAATGTAGAGATTGCTTTTCCTTTCATCTCCCAAATTCTGCTGGCATTCCTTAGTAGCTGTAGAAAAATGCAGAGAAGGACAAATGGGGAATGAAACATATTAGCAGTGTCATCAAGGTGGCTTCTGTAAAGCAGTCCCTAAGTCCTGCCTGAAGATGTTCCAGCAGGTGTGAGTGGATGCAGCAGGCACATTGCCTGTAGTTACATCAGACACATCGCTAGTACACTGCCCAGCAGCTGAAGAGCAGCACACAGTAACCCAAACCACTGAGGTGTGCAGCTCATGCCTCTGCTACGTGCAGGCAGGGTTAAGAGGACAATGTCTATTCCAGTTCTATCACAAAAGCCCAACACAACACACTGCATTTCCTGTGTACCTCCTATATTGCTTGAATGCCAACTACACGTTCACCAGTACTTTGAAATTCTTGCATAAGTTTTGAGATAAGTGGTATCTGATACATAATACCTATGGCAGTAACCTTACTGCATCTTATTTAATTAGCACAACATTAGTTGGCAGTGGGTTTCAACCACAGGACATACTGGGATGCAGGCATGTCTTTCACCCATTAGCACTTCCTGGGGAATTGCTTTCTCTATTTCACAGGGCTCAGTTCCCTTTGTAACACATCTTGTCTCTGTTGGCACCACCCTTCTGTTCACCTTGGTGTCAATGAACTCGGTTAACAGCAACTGCTAAGTGTCTGAAGCTGACTTTAATAAAGATGTTGCTAAAAAGACCGTGAAGTGCCTTACAAGTTAGTTAACATTGTTTAGCAAAAATGTTCTCATACTGGTTAGCTTAGTGATTCAAAGTCATCGCTGTCAGGGGCTATTTCTGACATTCTTACATATCACTGCTTGAAAAACGTTCCAACACCTGCAAAAAGCACACGGCAAGTGAGCAGTGTTCAGTGTGCTGCTGAGGCAGCTGCTGGAGGCAGTACAGACTGCAGCATCACTGAAAAGAGGCACTGCTCAAATTAT